GGTTTTTGTGAAACCAGAGGGATACCTGGGTCTAGGTTGGCTCTATTTACGTGCCACAAGAGCTTAGCCTCCCTGACCCCAACTCGGGTCTGAAATGCCGTACACTGTCCAGCACCTTGGGACGTCCTCCCGACGTGAAAGGCGCTATACAAATGTAATCTTGTTGCTGTTGTTAATTTGCTGACTTCAGTCTCAACTTCGAAACCGGTTTAACGTGGTTCCTAATAGAAACTCAACTGAAAAACGACTTCAGAACTGAACGCTGCATCTTTGGGGAATTTGATGGATTCGGGGTGGCTCGCTCTGAAATACGGTGGCGACAAGAGTAAATCTGGACCCAGGGGCGGAATTATACCCCATCGGTGTCAGGTTTCAAAATCAATCGTTTTGTTCTCAGCTTCATTCAGGTGGTGTTTGGGTCGGTGTTTTGCCCCCGACTTAACTAAACTGATGGAACACCAGGGAGCGAAAGTGAACACTGTGGATCAAGTCGTACGAGGAGAGGGTGGGTCTCGATTTTTAAATGGGGAAAGGGTTGGGGTTTGGGTGGAAAAAGAGGAATGCATTGATCTGAACTGCAAAACTACGTAACCAAAAACCAGAGAATACTGTGCAGAACTCAGGTGCTCGTGACATTGTTGGGAGAGAGGGCAGTCAGCAAACTCCTCAGGGAAGTCCCAAAGGTTATGCCCCACAAACTCTTTATGCCAGAAGCAGACTCTGACTCTGTCTGTGCTGCGTTGTCTGTCACACACGGACACCCATCATCGCGCTCAAGAGTGTGCCAACCAGGCCAAGACTGCCACGTACATACGCCACCTACACGCGGAAACTACCCTGAGTCTGGAAACAAAATCACACTCTCTCCTTAGAGGGAAGGCACCCCTCAAGCAAACCTAATTCCAGAGAGCGTGAGGCTCAGATTGGCAAGAGCCAAGGCTTGGGGAGAAAGGGAGGGGGGGGGTGGTGGGGGGTGGTCAAAACAGTTAAAACCATCACAAATTTTTCTTTAAGATAAGCTGCAGCACACTGCTGTCTTATCTGTCCTGCATCGTGATAGGATTGATTTGGAAAGTAATCAGGGATATTGTTGCGAGTGTACACAATTTTAAATAACACAGCGATTAACTGGGCTTTCCAGTCATTCCTTGTGCTCCACCAAGCTCTTAAGTGATAATTAGCTTCCAGGGGAGTGCTTCAATTCCTCACACGCATAATAGCATGAGACACGCCATCAATAATTGAGCAGCGAAAGCGGCTGCTCTTAAGTTAACTGTGAGTATGATACCGATGCGCATGAATTATTGGTTAACGTTAGTTGAAACCAAATCCGCTGAATTCAAAATAAGCTTTTCAGGTGGCAAAGATCAGGGTAAAAGTGTTCGCTGCTTTGCGTTGCATTTTATCAATCGTTCCATTTCCAGTCTTGTCAGCTCACTTGCTGGGTGTATTAAAGGGGCGGTGTTGTCTCCTTCGGAATGATTTTCTCTCTCTCGACCGCACAGACGAAGGGGGGGTCACGTAAAGCTAGTTAAAAAGATGACTCAGAGGAAAAGGCTTCTCATTTGCATTCTTCCACACGACTTTAAATGAATCATGGAGGCACTTTTACACTGGAGCAAACTCCGGCAAAACCGTTTCGTCTCAACATCGTACAGTGGAGATGCAGAATTTTGCATCAAATCAAAAGATTTTCCCTTTTGCTCCTCAGCTGTTAAAACTATACCCAGCGCTCGACACGACACGACACATTTGACTAACGTGGGGCACAAGTGTATGCGGAAACCTGGCAGTGTGTCGTGTGATGCATCTCGACAGGTGGAGATGCCCTTTCCACTTTTAAACGGCACTTTACTCAAGGGCTGATGAACGCTCGTGACTAGCTGAAATTCCAGCTAGTCTCATCCTGGAGAACCGTTCTAAAAGAGAGTGGATGCGCAAAGTCTTAAAAAAGTCAAATGAAGGCAGGAAATGGGCTGGAATCACCCGAGTCAATCAGCTTACCTGTCTGGGGTGGGGGTGGGGTTGGGTGACTCCTGTGAGAGAGGTCTCCAGGTGCTCGGTAAGTTATAGACCAGAGAAGCCTCAACATCGCCAGAGGAAGGGAGCAAACTGGAGCAGAGAACATATTTTGAACTAACAACTCATAATATAATGTCCTCTCTCTCTCTCAACACTGACAAAGTGTGGGTCACAATCGAGTCATAGGGTGGGGGGGAGGGAAAATATTTGGGCTCTATTCCCAATGGGAACAATCCCATTGATTGAACAGAAGGGGGGAATTTGTATTGGGCTCAGAAGTGGTTCGGCTGTTACCTTTCCAAATCAATGAGTTGTGTTCTCTCTCTCTCTCTGATGGACTAGATTGATCTGATCACCAATATCCGATGCGCCTTGTGCTTCTAAAAGGGACCGATGGGCGAGATGAATAGATCGTAGCGGCTGCCTTGGCATATCGTCGAGGAATTACCGGAAGACACGAGTCAACAACCGATGAAAAGCTTCCCACCTCGAAGAGCTGAAAAGGTCAGTCAGTGCCACCACACAAGGTAAAAGTCACAGCGGGGCTGCTCAGGTAAGATCCAAGTCCCTCTTAGGTCACAGCAGGACTTGATAGGTAAAAGCCTCACCGAGAACAGTGGGAGGTTTGTACTTCCAGCAGTTGTGATTAGTTACTTCTGAGTGTTATCCTCATGGATACAAAGGCATAACATATGGTGTCATTATCAACCGCACCAGCACCCCAAGAGGAACGCGAGAGACTTGAAATATCTTAAAACCCATCCTTCTGCCAAGCTTAACTCTCCCGCACCTGCCACGTCGTACTGAACATTCTGGGCTCCACCTTCCCTTCCAGGATATTTTTCCGGCTTGCTGTCTAGTGTTCTCTTTTGCCCCTACGCTCGAACAGTGAAGCCAATAAAAGCACACCCCCCCCCCCACCCCCAACGGTGACATCAACTCACTCAACACAGACCAGGGATCTGTCCGTCTCCCAAACTGTGCAACCCGCCGAGGCAACTGGCTGGAAAGTCCTTCTACGGTTGTATTCCACTTGAACAAAAGCCCCGCTGTGCAGTGAGGAAGTCTCCTTCTTCTGGTGGAACAAAAACCCCACTGACCACCATCAATTACAACAGTTTTCGTTTGCACTGTGTTGTCCCCCCGCAGCTGTCTTCTCGGTTCACCCGCCTGGTTTACCCAGTTGCTTCAATGTGCCAGACGCACGTTCGCTCCGGGGATCAGTGTCTCTCACCAAGGCGGATAGATCACACAGGACATTGCACCACAGCAAAGCCTCTTGCTGACAACAAGTGCACAAAAATGTATCTCGGTCCTGCAGTAAACGTGCCTCCAAGTGGCTGAGTGCAGAACAACAACCAAGAACGAGAACTGAGTGGTCCACAGCAGGTTACACACCACAATCTCCTCTGATCCCCCAAACTACTGATTAAGGGGAGGCTGTAAACAAATATAGGAGGGAGAGGTGGGAGGGAAGGATGGGGGGGGAATAATATGCCAACCGCATGTCTCAGAACTGGAAGCCAAGACAAGAAAAATAAGATATTCTCCATCCATCTCCTCCGTACCCCTCGACCAACAAGATCACTCGTCAGCGTAGGCAGTGCCTGTTTTTCCCAATTCCTTGCTCACCCAGCCACATGATCGCACCCCATTCATGCACATTGCTCCCAACTCAAGCATTGCCTTGTGAATAACAACACTGCGCGTTCACCAGAGGCTGCCCCGACAAACAATGAGCTTCGTACAGTCGGCCCTGTTCACGGAGGGACAATTGGTCAAAGGAAATCCTAACAATAGTAACCCTTGCATTTGAGACAGCGCCTCATTACGTCTTCGAGGCGCCTCAAAGCGCTTCGCAGAATTTACTCTAATGTGAATCGACTGGATATTTTGTGGGCGAAATGTTACATGGGACAGAGACGCCTTGAGACAGAAAGGTAAAATCAAATTCAAAAATCGATCAGGCCTCCCTCTGATAACGGGGATGGGCAAATGAATAAGATATCGACACTTTTCCGACCATTTTCATTCGTTCAATCAACAGCGTTGGGAACGGCAAGAGCCTGAATTTGTGTTCAGATGCCATTTCAACATCTACAAATCATTCGGTCAAACAGTGAGAGGTTTGAATCTGTTGCGTCTCTACGTACTTGCTGACCGGTCGGTGGCACTTAAGAGAACGTCAGCGAGCTTCCAATTAAATCTGCGCGGAAAACACCTGCTACCTCATCATCCTGGTGCAGCGAGCAACACTATCAGGCTTTGGAGTTCGATAGAAAAATCCTTGCTAGAACGAAACCCTTTCCAAACTGCTATCACAGCGGCGGAAACAGCCCTGCACTGAGTTCTTTGGATCCCGAGTCGCTATGGATTCATTTCGTTACTGACCGTCAACTGGGATGGGGAATTCCTCCTCTGAACGAGAGGCGGTGGGTTTTACTGATACATGGCTTCTTATATCTGCCCCGTACTGTCCCACAAACCTGGAGCCGGCTGTGGAGGCTATACACGTGAAACGGACAGTGATCAGCAGACGTCATGAAATGGATTTCCCATTATCCCCCCACCCCCCCCCCCCCGCCAAACCCCACTCCCGACACCCGCAAATCGCAAACTCTTACCAACGTTAAGCTTCGCATGTGCTCATACTTCTGGTATTTTTTTTTGTTAAATGCTCTTTGTCTGTAATATTCCGCTTCGGGCAATTGGAACCCTTGACGTATTTTTTTTGTGTGTGTTCGATTTCTGTACAAATCTCACGCTAGGTACCAGCTAGCGCTTGCATCTGTGGAAAGTAAAAGAATTCTAACCTTATCAGAATGGCAGTAATTTAATTTCACAATGAATAAACCCCCCGACCCTCCCACCCCCCCCACCCCCCCACCACCGCTCCCACCCACACTCCCCCCACCCTCCCCTCCCCACCCTCCCACCCCCACTAAAATGGCCTTTCAGGTACTTTAAGGCCTCTTCTCGCTTAAAGTGGGAGACTACAAATTTGTTCTGTCTGAAGAGATAAGAAACATGCTTGGAACAAATATGTCGCAGTCTGAGTCGAACGTCTTTGTTTTTCCTTCTTCTTCTTCTTCTTCTTCTTCTTCTGTTGTTTTCCCTCCATATATATATATGTATATATTTATTTTTTTGGGACGTTTCCGCAAATCGAGGGGACCCGTGGGCATCGTCCTTGTCGTCCGGTTGCGTTTTTATAAATCCCCGTTTACATCGTCGGAAAAGAGTGAAGGGGGAAAAAAAACAAAACAAACAACAGAAAAAAAAAATATATATACCCCCCCGAGGATGACATCAACAACAACAACAACACCCTCCTCAGCACAGTTTGGCAGTCAGTGGGTCGGCCTGCTTTAGAATTTCCCGTTTGTACATGTCCAACGAGTGGTTGACCCGCATGACTTCGCTGCTGTTGAGCTTGAGCCGGTGTTTGAGCATACAGGAGAAGAGGTCCAGCTGAGGTTTGCCGGGCGCCACCGGGGGGGCCAGTCGGTTTATCCGCTCCCTGATGTCCAGGAGCAGCAGCATGACCGAGGACGAGGAGTAGACCTGCGTGCCCTGAGTGTACGACTGGTTGACCTGCTGGACCGCGCTGCGGAGCAGGTCGGTGTTGAAACGCAAGCTGTAACCGTACACCTGCACGTCGGAGATCTTTATGTAGATCTGCCGCTTGGCTGGATCCGACAGGTCCACGGGGCCCTGCGCCGTGTCGTTGCGGAGGGCCGTGGGCAGCTTTCCGCGGCTCCGCAGGTAAATGTGCACGGTCTCGAAGACCGTCTTCCACCGGTTGCCCAAGACCAGCGTCCAGTTGTAGCACTGCGCGTTCTGCAGTCTCGTCTTTTCCCAGTCGGGGTAGCCGTGCTCCGCGATCGGCATGTTCCAGCCCTCGGAGTGGCTCCCGCTGAAGGGGTTGATGTAAACAAAAAACACGGGGTCCACGCTGCTGTTCCTGATCTGGCAGATCTTCATGGACAGGCCCACGATCATGTGGATGAAGTCCACCCTGTTCTTGTTGCTCTTGAGGGTCAGCGACATCCTCTTCCGCCACCGCGGGTCGAAAAAGGTGTCCAGCCGGATCTCGTTGCTTATGAACATAGTCTGGATGGACAAGCGGGAGTCCTTTTTCTGGAGCAGGTACTTCAGCTCCAAGTCCTGGAAGTCCAGCTCCGTCTCGAAGCTCACGAACTGTTCGCTGCGCTCAGAGTCCACGTTCTGAGGCTGGCAGCGGCCCCGGTATAGCTTGAAGCCCCGGTTGCAGGAGCCGCACAGGGAGATGTTGGCCAGGCTGCACATGGCACAGCTGTTGTTGGCACCGATGGAGCACGGGATGGGCCTCTGGCACACTTTGGCCACCGTGTGGCACACGCAGCTTCTCTGGCTCTCCAGGAAGGTGCCCCAGTAGCCGTTCTCGCTGCAGTACAGGAGCGATTGCACACGGTTCAACCACTGATGCACTGTCCTGTGAAGCAAACAGACAAACGAACAAACAATAAAACGGTGCCTGTAAATACAGTCGGACAAGTAATTGCCTCCCCTACGCCCCCTTCTTTCCCTCCCAGATTGAAATAAAATATAATTTGCGGCACCTTATTTTTTCTTAGAAAAAAAGGCATTTCGCCCACAAAATACCCAGTCAATCCACTTTACAGTATATTTTGCCGTATCTCTCAGTATGTACAGTACCATCCCAGCACCTTGAGACGTGAAATACGCTATACAAATGGAATACTGTATCGTGTTTTGTGAAGCGCTTTGATCATCTCGACCGCATGTCGAGACACTTTACCAAATGCAAGAATTGGTAGGATTATTATTATTATTATTATTAAAGACAAATGACCTTTTTAACAAGTGACTGTTTTCCGAGCCTTTTTGGTTGTGAAAACAAATTAACGGGTTGGGGGAAAAAAAACCACGGGATATCTACAAATAACCTGCAATTTCTTGATTTTAGAGTCAGGGAACGCAGCAAGTCTGCACATATTATTTCCAGCATCACTAAGTGAGTGTCAGGCTGGCTCAGTTGGTAGCACTCTCGCCTCTGAGTCAGAAGGTTCAAATACCCAAATTAGAGACTTTTGAACTCTTTTGGGGCTGCTGAATTTACATTACATTACATTAAACCAAGGAAACTGCTCCCGCAAGTCTCGTCTGACTGCTCAGGTGGACGTTAAATATCCCACAGCCCTGTTCGAAAATGAAAGGAAGTTTCTCCCAGCGTCCTGGCAGACAAGCCACTGGAATAAATCGCTCATTCCCTTCACGACTGTCGTGGGATATTGCTGTGCTCAAATTGGTTGCCGCACCCACCTACAAAATGCACGTCCGCTGCGCTTAATGCATAATAGATCCCGTAAAGCGCTTTGATGCGAAAGGTGCTGTATCAAACGTAAGGATTATTGCTATGATTATTAAGGAATCACACTGTAATTGTTCTTTTTCTCTTCCCCCGCCCAGAGAAAAACGCACTGTGCCATTTGAATCGGAATTTTTTGATGCCGGAGATGTGACAGGTTCTCGGGGGAAGTCGCCGAGTCATCGAGGGAGCTGGGCTGACATGAATCGAGAGCCCAGTCATTAATCGCAGACATTTCAGCTTTAATTGTGCGGTCGTATTCCAGCTCCCTCTACGCTGCTGGGCTGAATTGCTGCATCTGAAGCAGCTGAATGAAGTAGTGAAGCCTAACGGGACGAGATGCCGTCACTTGGCTTTGTTCGGTTTAAACGTCGCGAGCGCAGTTTGCGTGACACTCGGGTCACAGAAAACAAATTCAGTTTTACTACATCATTCCTCCCGTGGTCGTCGGGTGACTCGCACCGAAGAGCTCAGCCTCCCCCCAGGGCCCTCTGTAAAAAGTGCCCGTTACTTGTTGCGTTGCCTCAGCTGGTCAGGGCCAAGAGACAATAAACAATACCGATCCTGGCATTTTTCAACCCCGGAAAAGCAATCCGCCCATTGACTAACAACCGGGCTCCTACTTACTGCTCGGTAAACAGAGGCGGGCGGAGCAAGGAAACCTGCCCAACATTTCGCCCTGCCCGGGCTGGACGATATGACGAAGCAGGAGGGTCGCGATCTTAATAATAATTATAACAACAACAACAACAATCTTACCTTTCTCGAGGCATCTGGTGATTTGGGTTGTGGCGACAGCGAATACTGAGGCTGAAGAGCTTGCGGGCAGTGCGTTGGATTTTGGCTCTCAGCCCCTCCATCGAGCTCTGGAGCATTTTGTAACGCGCCTGGAGATCCCAGTCGTTGCCCCAGAGCTGGTGCACGCTCCCCACGGTCAGGAAATGAGTGCTCGGTAACCGCTTCATGAAGGACTTGAACTCGTCTGTGAGGAAAAGGAGACGCTCACTGCTGTGCGCAATTGGCTGCCGCGTTTCGCCCACAAAAGTACACACAGTCAATTCACTTTGCAGTCTATCGTGTGAAGGGCTTTGAGACGTCTCGAAGACGTGATCGGCGCTGTATCAAATGCGAGGATTATTATTGTTATTATTATTATGTTCTAAAGAGCATTTACTTTGCATCGAAATGCATCAGTGATGTGTTTTTCTGTTCAGCGATGGTGCTTGGGAGGGAGGGATGGAGTGAGGGAGGGAGGGAGTGAGAGCGATCGTTCCATCATCCTTATTTCTGCTCTCCATTCCAAGCCCACACAACAGCCCAAGTTCTGCTGAACTCCGTCCTCTCCTGCCAGCGATCGGCAGTGGCCAGCGAGTGATCGCAAGCTCGTGCCTGGAATCCCCCGACCTTCTTTTCTGCGACCACTTGCAAGCCAGGTCAGACTGGAGGCTGTGCTCCACTGACCTGCTGAACACTGGCAGACGCTCACCTGAATTTTCGAAGTCCTTGTAAGCCGTATTCCAGAAATCCGAAAGTCCGGCCAGTGCGTTCTCCATGAGCTGGATGTCGGTGATGGGCAGTTGCATTGCGGGAAGTCCTCTGAACACTGGCAAGCGCACTGACTGTTCTGACATATGTATTCGCCCTCCCCGTGACACATAATGTAACTCAGGGCCGACTGCACGAACTTCTCCCTCAGGTACTCGGGAAGGACTGTCTGCAAGCCTGCCGGGGAGTAAGGAAAAGCCAGAGGTCATTCGATTGGTTTTCTCTCGGTCGGGGTGGATACAGCCTGAACGGTTGAAGAATCTCCCAGATTTGGTTCCCTCCCCCACCAAGGAAACCGCTCCTGTTAATCTCGCGAACATTGGGCTGATCTGTCGGAGGCTTCCAACTGCGACATATATTCACATTTACATCGAAGCCGGTCCCAAAGCACTTAAAAGGGTGCTTTTACAGGTTTAATTGTTCTACCTGACAATTTTAAGACTAAAATCCAATATTTAGGTCCCGGGCGACGGTTACACGAGTGTACATTTTACTGGCATGGTTTATGGCATCATTTGGATTCGTTGATATATTTCTGCTCGGGAAACACTGGAAGATTTCCATCGTTTTTCTCTTGTATAAAGAATGGCGCTGTGTCTCAGCAACGCACTTACATTATTCTCCTTTCAGTTCCTCCATCCTAAGAACATAAGGACAAGGCGCTATACCAAATGCAAGGATTATTATTATTATTATTATATTATTAAGAATTTGCTAGCCGAAAGATGACCAAGGTCCATCCAGTTCGACTTGCACAATCCTGGCAGTCGCATGACAGGTCATGTCCCAAACTGTATATTGAGTATCTTTTTCTCTATCCATCCCATCCTCCCGCTCCCTACCCCAACCTTCATCGCATCCTCTTTCTCTCCCCCTGTCCCAACCTGCATAATGTTGCCGTTTTCCAATTGAATGTCCCATCAATATTACCCGTAACATCTTCCGCAGAATAACAGCTCAGACGTTTTAAAAAAAAACATAAAAGAGGCATAAACTTCAGAGGGCTTTTAACCTGAACAGTCTGGAAAATGGGAATTAGATCTCGGAAAATTCTCAGACTCGATCACCGTTTTGAAAGAAAGTCTTTTGAAAACGGTTTTCCAAAATTCCGCAAACTTAAAATTTGAAGGCAAATGTGCCTTAAGGTTAAGTCCACGAGAAATTTCAATACCTCCGCACTCCCCGATGAGGCAAACCGCCTGATGCACCCTTCGAAGCAACCGCAGTTTGATCATTTCTCTCCCAGTAATTAAATTGTGATCATAAATCCTGCCCTTATCATCGTGCATCAACCAGGCTGTGGCCACAGGCCAGCATCACTGACATTTACTGCTGGCAGTAAAGCATTGAGTCAAAACAGGATAAAGCTGTCCCCACGAACTCCGAGCAGTAAATTACGTTTTGATGAAGCTGTCACAGGCGATAAATTCAAGGGTTGGCATCGCATCCAAAGGGGGTTGAAGTCAAAGTTACGGGAAAACTTTTCCCGCGTGTTGCGGTGATTTCGAACAGAACTCCTCCAACGTGCTGTGAAAGCTGGCAGTGCATCATGTCACCTTAGCGGGAACGCCAGTCCGACACAGTCGACCACAAGAGCTGAGATCCTGGGATGTGATCAGTCAACCACGTGGCTGATATACGCCCAGGTCTTGGAAGGAGTTACCACGCGGATTATGATTAACTATAATTGTAATAATAAATGATATATCCTTCGTAACAAATCCCACTGAAAATTGTTGCCTATCCTCCTTTTGTGAGAAACCTTTCTTGCCTTGTCTCACTCCCCAATTAAGTGTAGGGCAAAGCGTATTTGCCGGGTACTTTGCCAGGAGTCAATGCACTCAAAGGGCACGCTTAAGACCTTGCCACCTGTCAGCCGCCACAGCGCGAGCTGGAACCAAAATCGGACGATGCTTTTTAAAGTTATTTAAGTGTCAGCTCCGCAACTGATTCCTGGGTAACGTTTTAAACAAACACCGCTTCGTAATTCGGAGATTGGCGATTGGATGGCTTTGAAGAGACTTTGGGGGGGAGTGGAGAGCGAGCATTGGGCAATTCTGCGAAGGGTAATTCACATCTTCCTTTGAAACCAACTTCTCCTCTGTAACCTTATTTGGGAGGAGCATGGGGGGGGGTGGGGGTGGTTGGGAATCAGTGAGAAAAGTGGGTTCGAGCGCAATTGGTATTTAAAAGAGCAATTATGAGTAACCGCTGATATAAAAATCCTTGCATTTCATACGGCGTGTTTCACAACGGGAGGAGGTGAGCCCACAACCTTCTGACTCAGAGGTGAGAGTGGAAGCAACTGAGTCAGGTTGACTACTATGCAGCGTGAAGGAACATTTTGACTGCAGGAACCCGCAGCACTGTTCTGGCAGAGTCACCCCATGGCTGGCTTCTGCCCTCAGCGCTGGTCTTTCACAGGCTTTTAAAATCTGACGCGATGCTTGCCAAAGGGGGGCTTGCTGGCTGGCTGGCTGGCGAGCAGACAAGCAGCAGGTCAGGGACTTTCAAGATGCATTAATGGCTTCGATAATCAGGAACTCCAGCCAGCAGCGGAATCACAAAGCGTTCGGAGATACCGCGTGCTGTGCGTTTCCAAATCGGCTTCATTTATGCATTTATGCATTTATTTATTTATTCGTTCTTCTGTTTCGCCCACAAAGTACACAGTCAATTCACTTCACTGTGTATTCTGTGAAGCCCTTTGAGACGTCTCGACGACGTGATAAGGCACTGTATCAAATGTCAGGATTATTATTATTTCAAATACAAGAATGATTATTATTATTATTATTATTATTCATTCAGCAGCAAAGCTTCACGAACAGGAGCAAGAATAAACACCAGCCCTCGCAACGTGAAAGCCAGTTTGCCACCGGCTCCGCATTCCTTTGTCGCTGTTTTTTTTTTTTGGGCGACGTTCGCCTCTGCCTCCACTGACGTCACTTCGAAAGACACGAAGAGAGAAGCAAGCGGCAGTCGGGGAATCTGGCTCGAGGGAGATCGAGAGGCAGATGGGTTTGGTTGAGATGATGTGTTTTGCCTACGTACAAAACTCAACAGCTGCAGTTCCGGAAGTAACTCGGACGTCAAAAAGTGAGAGATCTGTGCCTCTTGTAAAAATACTTCCATGCTTTACGCCGAGTCAATCAAGGGTTCGAATAACAGAGGCAGCGCCCGCCAGGGATGGTCTGGCCTGAAAACACCCACCCCCCCGCCCCGCCCCAATCCGGATAAAATTGGTCATTCGCTTCATAGCTGTTTCTGGGATGTGGATCTGCACAAATTGGCTGCTGCAAATTTCCGACAAAGGCTCAAGACTACCGGAGATAATGTCCTTCGGATAATATGTTACAACCACCGTCATTTCACTTCAGTGCTGTTTTATGGGGGATTTGATGTGTGCAAATTGCCTGGCTTGTTCACCTACAAAAGCAATCAGATCATTTTACAGTAATTACCTGTGATGGGATTTTTCTGATTCTCGATGCAATATCAAATTGCAAGGATTAATAGCAATACAGAATCGGGGAGGAGAGCAGTTATTTTTGCATTGACATGGGAGCAATTCGATTTTGCTAAAAAAAAAACCCTCTGGGACACAACCAAAGAGAATATTAACAATGCTTCCTTACACTCTCGACAAGACAGTGGCAAACAACGTCATATGAGGCCCTGCAACTGATCTGAAATTAAAAATCCGCCCGATTAAAACATATTTGTCGCGTTTCTGTCGCCACACGTTTTTCTTACAAAGCAGCGAGTGCCGAGGCTTGGCTGAACATCAGAGCAGCAAGTCATTAACCTGGGGGGGCCTCCAGCATCAGCTGCCTGCTTGTTAATTCCGCTTCGCAACACTGAGTGATTCAGTGACTCCTACGAAGCCACGTGCGATGGCAATGCCATCGGTGTTCGCTGTTTAAAACGAGAGAGGTCCACATACACATGCCGTATCCACATAGACATTTCCCTGCCTTTGGAAGGGAATGTAGACTCTCTTCCCACTCCACCCTCCCCCCTCCCACCACTTCCGCACTCTACCCCCACTGGGACTCGCCCTGCTTGACCGAATTATGGAACGCATGAGGAGCGGGTTAGCGAGAGCTTAAGATTTCAGGGTCCCCGGAGTGAGTGAGTGCCCGGGGTACTCGTCTGGAGTCTGACATTCCGCGGCCAAGTGCGTCACTGGAGCCAGGCCCCGATGAAACATCCTGTGGCAGACGGTGTGGCGTGCGCTTTGCGTCAGAAACGACAGCCAGCCACTTGTCGCAACTCTTGTGGCCCAGCGCCTGTGGTATTCCATCAACTGGCCCCTTCTCCACTGATCAGCGTTCGACCCTGAGCCGGTTAGTTCTAAGCCCTCCGAAAGATTATCCTACGCGGAGGGTGCTATGTAAATAAAAGCCGCCGTCTTCAAATGTAGCACCAGATCTCACTGCTAAATTGTTAGGCTTTCATACCAATATGTCAGCAACTCAAGAACCACCCCCCCTGTGAAAGGTGCTCCATAAATGTAGTGTTGTTGTTGTTGTTATGGAAGCCCTTGTGCACACACTGAGCTCGGAGCTGTCCGGGTTGAGTTCAAAGCCGGGGCTTCCAGCGCTGAAGGTCAGCTGTCCTGACTTGCGAGGAAGCCGAGTGTGTTGCCTTGACCCACCCACCGGTGCTCAAAAGTCTTCGCTATTTCGCAGAGGAGGGAAGGGGAAGGGGAAGGGAGGGGGTTAGGGTTTAAGCAGTGTGTTCATTATTGCACACTGTGAAATTAGGTTCTGCAGTTTGTCAGTGACAGACTCACATGAACGCACCATGGGCAGAATTGCTAAATAATGGGCTGATTAATCTCCACAAGCTGCAGTGCCAGTTACTAGAAGGAGAACCTCTCGCTTGAAAGAGACTACTGATTATGAACTGTCCCCTCTAACACTGGGGATCAAGCTCATTCCCTCCTCTCCCTCCTGCTCTGTTTCTGGGATCAGAACAAACCTCAATGCGCACAACAACGTACAACGTGTGTTCGATGGCCAATGATCGCAAGAATATGACTTCTGTAGATCTGAACTCAACCCACTCATCACCCTAGCAGCTTGACGAGAGGAGGGACGACAACTAACATCCGTACAAACTTCCTATTTTCTTCTCAAATGTCACCCCCACCAGCTCGCCCCATCCCACTACATTTTGACAACGAGTTCCTGCTCAGTCTCAGCCGCCGAGAAGTAGAAAAAGACCTGCGTGGGGAGGTGAAAAACAACATTTTTAGCACTTTCAACCCCTCTACTACTTTTCCACCTGGTAAGGAGGATAACTGATGGGGCAAACGGAGGCTCTTGCAGAAGTAGCAGAATCTATGATGTACCAGTACCTGCCTCCACGTCTTTGATCTATTTAAACATTTAATACTACAATGATGGGCTCAACCCTCTCTCCCACCTCGTTTGGCTCCCACCACTCCGTCTTTGTGAGACGACGAGATGTTCTCCAATGTTATGCGGCACTAAACTGGCAATTGTGGCTACAACACGTGCTTGCTCTGTGTGGGGTATAGTGTGTGTGTGTGGGGTGGGGGGGCTGGGGTGGAGAGGTAGGGGAAAGGGCGGTGGAAGAGGAGAAAATTTTGATTTTACGACACTGATTGTTCTGGGGTTGAAACTGCCCGTTATTTTGCTGGTGGTTCACATGTGAAGACGATGACGTCGGCATGGGATGGAAACACAAGCGAGCAGTGCAACCCGGTGTCATTCACACCAGGGCATCAACCTCCTTTGGCCGCGATCATCATTTCAGCTCGGATCTCACTCGGGGCACGTTAGCTCGGACGTGCGGAAAAGAAACGAAGAGGGGCAGGGGATGGCTTAACGGCCAGCCTTACACTGGGAAGCAAACAAAATACCGCCTCGTGACAAGGATACAGTCGTCGCCCCTTCAAAAGAGGAGTCTGCGTGACCACCCGGTGGTGTTGGTTTTGTACTCCATGAAAGAAAAAGTGCCTGGAGTTTCCTCGGTTTGCACCACTACAGCACGGCGATACGCAGTCAATGTAACACAGCGTGGCGCAGAAAGTGACTGAACCACAGTCCATCATTTTAATTGAAATATCCATCAGGAGCAGAGAGCCTCTTAGCTAATTGAATGCAGGCGCTGTGATACCGATTCTTGTTTTGCCATTTCGTCCCCAACATTAACAAATGAGTCGCTGACCTTTCCAAGCAATCCCTCATCCATTTTGCAGTGGCAGCACAATTACCAGGGCAGAACGGAATTTGAGAGAGTTCAAACGATAATCACGGGCGTCTATTTTCGGCCCCGGGTTGGAGATGACGTCGTGGGATGCGGGGCCCCTATTTTACGCTCGGTGCTAATTAAGAAAACGTACCTGGTTTCGTTCGCTGCGAGTTTCCAGCTCCAGCTGCAGAAGGAAGCCGATTAAATATTTAACAGGATTACGAAACTGACGACCCCAAACCCTGCTCTGCTTTCAATAACACTGATGAAAGTGAGGAGGAAATGGAGATGGGGCAACCATCGTGCACCAGTCTGAAGCTCGGTCACCTTGCGACCTTTATAATTGAGTTCTCGAGCAAAGCTGTTGAGGGAAAATGGTCGAGCCGACTGTTTATTGATCAGCCTCTCTCATATCAGTCCGGCAGAGACTTGATTAAGATATAATTGTGATTGATCGGGTTTGTTCCTTAAAAGAGCTGAAGGACTTTCGGAGCTTTCAAATCACGGCACTTTTCTCCCTTTCCGCATTGAAGCGAACAGCACCACAGAAATTTAGTACACAGAAGAAGGAAGGCCGTTTGTCCCATTGGGTCGGTGCTGCTCCCTCAAGAGCAATCCTTTCAAGTCCCATTTCCCCGCACCTCTGGAACTGACTCTTTTTTTTTAAAAAAAGGTATTTGTCTAGTTTCCTCTTGAAGGTTAATGTGGATCCTGCCTCAAACACTGTGCCAGAAAAAAATCTCACCTAATCTCCCCAATTGCTGGTTTACCAACTAACTACTTAAGTTGATACCCCCTAGTTATTGATTCACCGACCAGTGGAAAGAATTTGTCCCTATTGACTCTATCAAACCTCTCATAATCTATAAAACACCCACCTCTGGCACCTCCGTCGTTGGATACGTCCTCATACCCTCCCTTGCCTCCTTCAAAGCCCGTCTCAAGACCTTCCTCTTTGACCGTGCCTTCGGTCACCATCCCGCTCCCACCCCCTTGCCCTCCACCCTTCTTGATTTCAAACCCCCATCTCAAGTGCGAACCCTTGACTGTCCAGTGCCTTGGGACATCCTCCCAACGTGAAAGGCTCAAAATTTCCTGTTGTTGTCGAATGAGGTAAGTATCCCTCCAGGGAGAGAGAGAGAGAGAGAGAGAGAGGCACACATTCCATTCCAGACACAGGGAAACTCCCTTGTGTGGGACTCTCAGCACGGTTCGATAACAAAATAAGACAGTCAATTCACTTTACAGTACATTCTGTGAAGCGCTTTGAGAGGTCTCGAAGACGTGTTAAGCGGCTGCATCGAAGGCAAGGATTGTTATCATTGTACTGAAGCACAGTGACGGGTTTCTGCGAGTGTCATAACACCCAACCGAACAACAGAAAGAAGTGAATGCAGTCTATCACCGACAACACCCATCTCCTGACGGGCGTGACTGCCCGGTAAACGCTTACCTTGTAAATGCAACCTGCTCTCGGGGCTCTGCAGCAGAACTGAACTCACGGAGTCAAGATTCTCGTAGCTGCTGCATCCCAGAGGTCCAGTCCGAGTTTCCGTCACCTGCAAAAGCAGAGAGAGAGAAAAACAATTAGCGTGAGAGAAGGAAAGAAAAAACACGCGCACACACACACACGCTATTAAACATCCCCATTAATTTATCAACGTCTCTTGCCACCGAACGATTCCTACACGGCAGCGGAAATAGAACGGAAAAGATTATTATTATTATTAATCCTCGGGAGGAAGCGAGCAAAGTTCCTTCGTCCTCTGACGGCAGTGGCCATCCGGTCAGGAAAATCCGAGCGGACGCGCTCTGTCTCTGCGACACGCAGGCGGAGCAGATTAATCGCAGACACGTCCGTTGAACAGAGTGCGCTGTTCTGCGCCGTAACAGCTCTTGAGGTAAGCAGCGCAAACAGGGACACAGGGTATAAGCATAAAGGGCTTTCCCCCCAACGTCCCCTTTTTATCGTTAACTAACGACCAGCAAAGGTTCCGTCCGTCCAAACCTTCATTTCCCCCCAACCCTCCCCCTCCCCACCCGGTTTATTTGATTGATTTATTCTTCTTACACCCCAGAGCCACAGATGACGGCAATGAAAACCGAGACAAGCTCGAGAAACTGGAACTAGGTCACAGGAAAGTAATTACGGGAACTCATGCACGGCTAAGATAATGTGCTTTTAATTTTCTATCAATTCCAACGCGGGCTCCAGCGAGCTTCCAGTCGGAAAGCCAGTTAAAATCGCCACGCCACATTCTTAACCATTTGTTCCACTTCTGGACTGAACGGAAAAGATCAATTATAGATTTTCTTTTAAAACCGGAGCTCGGAGCACAAAGGCACAGGCGCTACCTTTTTATATTGATCCAATTAACACTCCGTAAAATTGCCAGCACCTCCCCCTCATTACCCCACTCCCTCTGGGAGCTGTACAATGACTCCAGTAAAAGGGGAGAGAGAGAAAAAAAAAGGGAAGTGGGGGGGGGGGGGAGTTGGGTGAGCATCATAATGAGAATATTTTATATGCTTCTTTAATTAATGAAGTGGCTATAAATATGTGTTATCGCGGAAGCTTCTGTGGATTCGGAGTGTCATAACAAGGGATACAAATGCAGCAAATTGTAAATGAGTCTGGGAGTTAAATGGATAGTGTGATTTCTAATTTTTACAGAACAGCATAAAATCGCAGCATTTCTCCCGAGGGCGTCTCTGTGCTTTGCTGCACTCGCTCAGCCTTGTGCGCGCCTCGGGTCTGACTTCCCTGCTGCAGTGTCAACGCGGCCGGCGCGACACACGACTAAAGCCGGTGTTTGGAAACGCAGATCGACCCTTCACTGTGCTGCGGTTTTGGGACTTGTAAGCAGTGAGGAGTCTGAGCTATAAGCCCGCGGGATCGAATCCCCACCGTCCCTCAATAACAACGGGACTTTGGGGCTCCAGTCTTGGAAACCGCTGCAATACAGATGATGTGAAAACAAGGTCCTGTTTTGTCTGTTCTGGGAGATGTTGAAGATCTCGTGGTGCTACTCATCAAGAGAGCTGGTTAAACAGGCAGTCGGGACCTCAGTTTAACAGGCCTCTCCCGAAGGACAGCATCTTCCGACAATGCAGTTCAACTCCCACGTTTTGTCTTTGAGTTCACAGTCCTGGCACTGGAGCGAGGAGAACACCTTTCCCTTTTCTGAACAGTAACCATGAGATCTTTAATGTCCTCCTGGTTCAGCGGGTAGCAATCTTGCCTCGGAGTCAGGGTTTGATCCTCACATCAGCATCGTGTGGGTCCACAGTCCCCACAGTACGTCACTTACATGTCTCAGCCAAAGGACGGGATCTCAGACATCGGAGAGCTCCCCCAGCACGACACAATGACAACAAATCTACACTTGTATAGCGCCTTAATAATAATAATAATAGTCTTTGCATTTGATATAGCGCTTTTCACGTCGGGAGGACATCCCAAGGAGCTGGAACTGGACTGTCATTGGGAAACAGGAGCCAGAAGAGGGCATATCAGTACATCAAACCTGCTTCATTAATTACTGTCAGATCTTTTAATCCCAAATCCCTGCCCTTTCACCATATCCCAGGGTAAGGCTGCGTCATAAGAGTCCTTTTCTGCCCTGGACACAGGAAGGAGTATGAGAAGCTGAGTCTAAGATCCGGCAAAATACCGCCAATAATGAGTAGAAGCCCACAACAACGGATGCATTGAGTACAAAGGGATCTGTTTGAAGGAGAGATGCACTTGAACCTCGCGAAGCTGTGACATCAGCCGGGATCACTTTACCAAAAAGAAAAATCCCTTTTTAATATCTCGGGATTATGGCTGAGCGACATTGCTCAGGCAAAGCCCCTATGAACTCCGCGGACTGAGGCAAGGCTGCTCTCAATCACCCGCAGTCCTCTCCACTTGTTTATTCCGTTTGACACATTTGCAGCTCTACACAGGTTAATCAATTACCCGTCTCCCGTCAGCGCAATTAACACATCGTCCCTCAATTTGATTTGCAGCTTTCCCCATTATATTTATTTCCCCATTGGTGGGGCTCTGGATTTGTTGACTGTGAGATTTTATTTTGTACCGTAATCTGTGTTTTTTCTTTATTACCCGCTCTGTTAAATTGTTCTCCCCGGTTGTAATTAAATTGCCAAGCAGTACCAATCACCTTGTCAACAAACCACAATGTGTTGGGAGGAGATTTACTGCTGAGAAAACGGTGAAATAATGAACCAAAGGGTCAACTCTTCCCTCAAGTGCGTGTGTGTCATTATTTGGGAGCCTGAGATGGGTCGGTCTTTCATCAAAATATATCTTTTCTTCCCCCCACTCCTCAGCCCCAAAAGGAAACTAGTCCAAATGGTTGGTTCGTGTGCAAAGCTGGACGTAAAGCTCGAATTTCCACTGAGTCTTAACCCAAAGACCCTTTCTGCCTCAAAATGTAAGAGTGTGCAGAATTCTGAAAACGTTGTAAATCCAGTCGTTTTTAAGAACCAGAAAATAAAAACACACCTTCCAATTAAGCGCGAATTTGAGTATTTTCACAATCCGTGATTTCTCTGTTAAGGAATCTGAAGGGGAATAGTTTCCAGTTCCCGGGGATCTGAGACTTTATCGTACATGAAGGGTGTTGTACAGATGCAGGTTGTTTTAAGTAAGAAAGTGGATTGGGTCAGAGATAATCTCTCCAAGTGAGTTTTGAGAAACTTCAGGACTAAAAAAATCCATTCTGAACTGGTCGTGTTGTTGCCCCCAACACCGAGAGAGACATTCGTTGTATTTGGGATCAGCCACTTTGTGTTCAAGCAGCCGGTGTGATGAATTGGACTGCACGCGTAATGCAAATTCCTTGTAACGCAAAGAAAAAAATTCCTCCTTTAGGAGTGCCTACTGTCAGTGTAGTGTTACAGTTGCCCTCTCTCTTTCTTTCTCGCTCTCTCTCTCTTTCACTCCTTCAGTCCTTCTCCTTCGAACCATACAAATCGTCTATGATAGGGTGGGGAGCAATGGCGTTTTAGAAAATGGGACCAGCGAGTCAGATCATCATAATCTGTTACAGTCTGTTGCTTCACCCGGCCACACACTGATTAAGCTGCCGTGCATTCCCAGCACTTTCCAATTTGATTTATTTTGTTCGAAACCTCGCCCGTGCACACTGCAACCACCATCACAAACTGGGGTGTAAATGGACACGTTATTCAGCTCACACAACAAGGTTCAATTACCAAACACATTTCCAGTCGGTTCCAGGGAGAGCCTTTCTCCGGTCCAGTGATGGGAGGACACGGGTTTAGAGTCGCAAAGGGCAATTCGGTTGAGATTTGCAACGGGCAAATTTCAGGACCAGACACCAGGAAGATTTTCTTAACCCAGAGGGTAATTAACGACAGGAATGGGTTGGGTTGCGAGGAAAAGAGTGATGGAGGCCGGGACACTGGGACTCACTTAAGAAGCAGTTTGATGCTGTGATGTGAAGACTGTTGGGTGGGCCAAAGAGTCTTCATGATGTGACTTAACTAGTTATCAAGTGATCTGACAAACCCTGGACAAGGCTTACTGTGGCTACAAAAACAGATCTGTCTGTCAGGTACCACAGAGGCTGGCTGTGAGCAGGATCGCTTCAGTTGTGATGGTTTCTGGTACATGCCCTCTAACATTCTTCTGTGCTGACAGTGTTACTATTTTATGTTTAATAAACTGTCTGCCCCACTCGCCATCAATCTCCCCGGACAGGATGTTTTCTCACTGCCGCGTACAGACCAGTAAACACGAGTCTGCATGGCCCTGACCTGAAGACTGTCCCAGAAATATATTGGTGACTGGAAGCGAAAGAAAATTCAAACCATTAATCACCATTGCGTCAGGTTCAAACCAATTCCAACAGGCCCCGGAGTTCACCCCTGTGCCGCGCATTGCTGAGCGCTGTATTGTCAGAGACGCTGTCTGATGGGAGCAAAGTCAAAGCCAGAGAGTCTGTCTCTGTGTTTCACGGTGGACGATAAAGATTCCATGACACCATCCGAAAAAGAGAAGGGAGTTTTCTCCTGGTGTCTTGGTCAACAAATCCCTCACCAGAGATAAATAGTAATAATCCTTGCACTTGATATAGCACCTTATCACGTCTTCAAGACATCTCAAGGCGTGTCACAGAATATACTTTAAAGTGCACACAATTGCACACAGCAGTGTCCCACAGACGGTCAGGGATAAGTGACCAATTATTTTGAAGGAATTATTACCCACCAGAAAAGCGATCTGCCAATTGACTAACAACCAGGTTCCTACTTACTGTTAGGTAAACAGAGAGGCGTGTGTGCGGAGTAAGGAAATTTGCCCAAAGTTTCGCCCTGCTGGATCGAATCCAGGTCTCTCGCTTGCGAGGCGAGTGCTCTAACCACTGAGCTGCAGGACTCCACTCACTTTTTTTGTGGCTGCTTCATGGAATCCGTTATGTGCAAAGTGGTAGCTGCGTTTGTCACTAAACTTGATCGTGGGCCCTGGGATTACACAAAGCCCGTGCACACACACACACATACACACACATACACACACAGCACATGCACGCACACACACAAAGCACATGCGCGAACACACACACACACACACACAAAGCAGATATGCACTCACTCATACAAAGTACCTGTACACACACACACACACACACAAAGTTCACACGCGCACACACACACATACACGCACACACAAGCACACTCTCAGGTCTAATGACAAGATTGCTACTGTAGTCTCACTGCCTGTGACTGCGCTGATGATAATTCCCCTGCTTCACGCTGATGGGATTCAGGAATCCCTCCGAGCCAATTCCTTCGAGAATGTCATCTCTTGTCAGCGCTCGCTGCTTAAACCCAAAAGAACAACACGAAAGATGTAAAATTTTACCATAATTTGTTTTGCCGTTTGATTTACGGGTTGTGCTGATGGCAAGATTCCATCTTGAAATGCAATAGCCACAACGGAAGAGAGAAAGAGAGAGAGAGAGAGAGAGAAAAGAAAGATATTTCCAAATATCCCGTCACATCCAAAATGTCAGAAAGTATTAGTTTTACTAATTGCACTGCGCTGGAGAAGATCGGGTGGTCTGGGCGTTCGCGCCACATTACGTCCACTTTCTTGCATTTGAGAGTCTAAGACTAAACGCTGTTTCAAAGCAATTTTATTTTTTATTATTATTATTTTTATTATATGTCATTGTATTTGACAGATTGCATATAGCCATGCTTTACGTATAGTCCCACCCACCCAGCCTTCCTCCACGACGTCCTCATCGACCAGTGCAGGTCGTTGTGATGTACAGGTCCGGGTCAGCACCTCAGCTCTTCCATTTGCAATAATAATAATAATAACAATAATAATAATAATAATCCTTGCATTTGTCACAGCGCCTTATCACCCTGGAGCCATTTTAGTCCCACTTTCAATCTTGTGGGGTGGAAGCTTGTAAAATCGCCGGTCGAATGAGACACGGAGGACGGGGTACCTTGATGGCTCCGGTGGAGATCTGTATTTCGTGAAGTCTCCGCATAGTTCCATCGCGGTCGATGAAGTACGAGGAGGCCAGTTGGTGGAGCGCTTCCACACTCTGGGTGATGTTGCCGGTCCTCCTGTCCAACTTGCTTTTGTCCATGTACATGGTAAGTGCTTCTTCACCTGGAAGGGCCGAGAAAAAAAGACCAACACCGACACGTCATCCCTCCGGTAAAGCGTTCCCGGTTGCGTGGGCGGCGATAACGGGGAGTTGTTGGGTACCGTGTTGTGTGTGTGCGCGTGTGTGTGTGCGCGCGTGTGTGTGTGCGTGTGCGTGCATTTGATCAGGTTTTACGTCTGCCTGATGATTTAGGCAATAGTAATCACACTGTAATAATGACAACAATACTCGCGTTTGATATGGCGCCTTTTCCATCACGTCTTCGAGACGTCTCAAGGCGCTTCACAGAACGTACTGCGAAGTGAATGGACTTGTGTATTTTGCGGGCGACAGGAGCACGCGTTTGAATCATTGCTTTGCATCCCCATTAGCGTACGTCCCCTCTCACCCCCCCCCCTCCCTTTCTTTCCGCCCAGACTAATGAGCTCAGAGTCCCTTGAACCCACGACCTTCTGACTCTAACAGAGAGCGTTCCTGAGGAAGCCAGGCTGCCCGCAAAGCGCATCGCGAAACCACAAAGTCACGGGAGATGGGCAAGAGCGTTTAATTTCTCATTAAACCGGGAGGACGGGAAGTGGGGCAGGGAGGGAGGGACAGGTAGAGACAGAAAAAAACTATAACAATAATTCTTTAAGCGAACGATCATAGCTGAGTCGTTCAGGCAGCGCATGCTACTTGATGAAAGGTCAGGCGGATTCACATTCAACTGGATTGAAGGTTACTCATGTTTGGTTAGAAAATATTTCACCGACGCATAGGGCAAACGAAAGGGCCTGGGCCTGGGCGCACGCATTCACCCCACGTCAATTTTTCTCATCGATGCTCAGAAAAATCTTATAGGTGGGTTGCAGCGATATTTGTCAAGAACGTCACCTCGCAGTTCACGTGCCAAAGGACCGAGAGCGATTGTGAACACCTGGAGAAGAGGCTTTGCTCGAATTGCACTCCCACCCATTACTTGGTGTAATTCTCTGACTGAGGTTATATTAATGAGATGAAACCGAACCTTTATGTTTAATGAATACGGAAGGTGACGGTGTAAATTAATCTTTCGGCTGGGTCCCTCTGTGAGCCTCGACGTTTCAGTCATGACGCGTTTCACTGGTTATTCAAAAGCCTGTGTCAAATAATTTATCGCCGCTTTCTTGGCTCGGGCTACCGTCTTTTGAGTGATTCCGCAATTTGTTCTAATTGTGTTATCTGCATTGCTGATACCGTCGCAAAGCATAATTCACGCTCTCCGCCACCACAGTTCCAGCACGGTGGTAATTATCGAACTCGCATATTAATTCCCACGCAGTCTTCCGTTACCCCAAACAAGTGCCTCCACACACACACACACACACAAGGAACTGGATGAACGCTCGGTGCTCAAGAGTTTTGTGTGGCAGCCATTAAAATCACTCTCATGATCAAAAATAACCCTTGCCTTTGTCACAGCGTCTTCTGCACGGGAGGACGTCTCAAAGAGTTTCAGGGGATTTGCTGTAAAGTGTGGTGACTGTGCGTTCTGCAGGTGAATGCAGTCGACTCGTGCTCAGCAAAGCCATGAAGTGAGAACGCAGTTTTGCACTTTAAGCCGTATATTGTACAGTTAAGAGCCACATATATTACTTATTAACACAGAACTGCGTAGACCTCACAGCAATGGAACAGGCCAACTAGTCTGTGTCAGTGTTTATCCTTTACAACTCCTAACCCCCTCCCTATCCCCTTTCCCATCTGTTCCCTTTTCCCCTCACCTAGGCACCGAGTTTCCCCTTCGACGCATTGATGCTTTCTGCTTCGACCAAGACTTCCGGTCGTGAGCTCCACCTTCTCGCCAACCCGCTGGGTAAAGAGCTTCCTCCTCCGGAACGCCAAAAACTTTGCATATCAAGTTTTGACTCTAAAACATGGGGTGGCTTTCCGCCTTCAACGCGTCTCGGAAAGTTTTTGGGGAGGTTCACAGTCGGTAAGGATGGAACCAGGGTGACTTACCCCCAAGCGTGGCAGATAACAGCACGTGTGTTCCGTATTTCCGGATGATGGTATCGATGACCTGCTGGGTCGAGGGTCTTCTTCCCAGCAAGCGGATGCTTCTCTGGAACTCCGGCATGAGTGGGATAGGATTCCGGTTGAAGTCCCTCCTCTCGATGGCTGTGTTTCTCACCTTCCAGCGTGCAAATTCTCTGCAACGGCCACAATCACAAGCGTTTAAATTTTAAAAAAAAGGGGAATTCAAAACGTGATGAAGGGCCAAATCTCAGGCAGTCAAGGTGGTTAAAGTCGCAACAAATTATTTCCATCATATTACCCAAACACAGAGAAATCTATTGGAATCTCACTTGTTATTATTCTTTTAAACCCGTTTATCATCAAACACCATTAGTTTTGATCTTCCTTTGCCACAACACCCAACCCGGGTTGCATCTAATAATACTAATCCCTGCATTTCGTTTTACATTTCCACATCAGGAGAACGTTTCAAAGCTCTGCAAGAAGTGTACTGTAAAGGGCAGTCACTGTTGTCAGTGTAGCGAAGTCCCCACAAACAGCGAACCTTTGGAGAACGTGCCAATGGATTCCTGACGTCCACCTGGACTATCGGGCGGGACTTCCAAGTTAACGTCTCGTTCAAAGGGGCAGCTCCTCAGAGAAGTCAGCGCTCCCCTTGCACTGCCAATGGAGAGTCAGCCGAGACTGTGTGAGTCCAAAGTCATGACGAAAGGGCTTGAACCCTTTTTTGACTGAGGAGAGAGGCCGCCAAGTGAGCCAGGCTGACACACATCACCACAGATATGTTGGGAGGTTCATTGTTATTCTGGAGGTTTTTTTTTTGTTTGTTTGTTTGTTGTTTGTTTTTTGAGGTATATGCATGCAAATGGCTTCAATTAAAAATCACCGTAACGTAAACTGGGTAAATCGATGACAGTTTCATTCTCGGAGAAGCAAACTCCCTCCCACCCCTTCTCCCACTTCCCTTAATGACTAAAATGATTTGACGCGGATGCAATTAATGTACAACAGTGTGAATTCTATTCATAGGTTGTGAGCAGGATGTAAAATGGAATTTAATTAACACAGGTACGGCATGAAGGAAATGTACAGCAGGGTGAACCTTATTAAATCACACAGGTATTGACGAGGCTCCTTTACGTCGGTAGCAACACAAAATGCCCAAACCGCTTACATCTCACCATATAAGCAATAATTGAAAAGATAGCACTTAACACAGAACGCACCGCATCTCGGTTTAAATTAAATTGAACGACTGTACTAAGTAACCATGTCGAAAATGACAGAATGGCTCAAATTTGGGGAACTAATCTGTGCTATTTCCCGCGAAATGTGCAATCACAGATTTCCCGAAACTTCCGACGTCCTTAAAATTCAATAATCGTACATTTAGTAAATGATGAAAATTAGCCCAATTATATAGGATCTGGTGTGGCCGTGTGCTATCAGATTGGTTGATTATGCTGTAATTGAAACACTGCTGCTCCTTACAGTACAAATCAGAGCAACTTGTACTCAGTAGTTGATGAAAAAGAATATCTCGAATCACATTGATCCCTGAATCCAACACAGTAACTGAATAATACGGGCACAAAGTAAGGCCGAGATGGATAATTGTAAGTACAGAGAGAAAATAGGATTATTGAGGGATGCCTCCACTGGGATTTAACTCGATGCATTGTTGGGAGGATGTCCCGAGACACTGGACAGGTGTGGAGTGCGCGGAAGCGCCATTTGACAGGTGTCCAGCCAAACCGATTGTCGACAAACTGTGATCACAACGTACTCAACAAATTCCTCACACGTTAAAATTCATTTTGAAAGCAAACGAGACGAAGCAGACCTCAACACGGGGAACCCACTAGTCAGTTACAGCTCATCGAAACAAACCTCTTCCAAACCTGATCCTTTGCACTAACTGTGCCTTTTGGCACACACACGCACACACACGCACGCACACACACGCGCACGCTCACAAGCTGAAATGTCCTGCTAGACAGCGTATTCATGTGTGACAAGGATTGCCTTTCGATCAGCAATCATGTCACACACTGTTCAGTCTCTTCTCGACTGTACCTGGCATACACGTGAAGGCCTGAGATCGTAATCTCATGTCTCCATCGTCCTCAGTCAATCAGCATCCGGCTCGGAATAACAATTCCTGCAATAACAGGCAACGTGGCTCACGTTAAAACACGGCCTGGATTTGATCGTGTGGTGGTCCGATGTCAACCACAAATAGTTCCTTCTTATGCTTTTGCAATGGCTTTTGTATCGGCCAAAAACATTCTCTGCCTTGTTACACCGACTCCTTTCCAATACAGTCGTTCTGCGACGTGGGTTTGGACCTTGCGCTTCAGAACTTTGATAAGTTGCAGTCAGACGTCGTGTTGTCATCAACAGATCGCGGTGCCGGAGGCAGTTTTGGTGGAAAAATAATAATATTATAAATAATCCTTGTATTTGATATAGCGTCTTATCACGTCGTTAAGACATGTCAAAGCGCTTCACAGAATATATTGTAAAGTGGAGTGTATTTAGTAGGGAGTAATCCCACTTTCGTGGGAATCGTGGGTTGTGAGGATTAGGTAGGAACGCTGCAATCAATTTTGTTTTCCACGCAAACTGTCTGCAGGGATAAGATAAGATCGGTTTGACGCAGAGAGAACGGGATACGCTGCCCTGATCTAACCTCAGCCCACAAACGATCTTCTCCCCAACAAACACACCATCAGAACTTTGAGGAAAGTTGAACGGAACCTTTTTTGTGAGCGGAGCAGTGTCCTGCAAACAGCCCTGAAGTGAATGAGCTATTGCACGTCCATCACAGCTTAATGTCTCGTCCCAAGGATGGTGCCTCCAACAATACAGCACTCCACCCCCCCCCCCCCCCCACAACCCCACTGCTATGTGGGGAGTACTTGGAATCCAAACAGCAAATCCAAAAGCTCACGTCAAGAGTCAAAATAGATACACGTATATATTTGCAAATTTTTATCTATTTCTTTTAAACAAACGGTGGTATAATGCACCTTGTATCTCATTCTCAGCTGTCATCGAGACATTGCTGTGTGCAAACTTAGCTGCTGCATTCGCCCACAAAGCTCATTGGGTTGGGGTTAGGGTTAGGGCTCATTGGGACATCTGGACGACAGAATAAGGCACTGTATCAAATGCAAGTATTATTACTGTGTTAATTTTGATAGCGACTTTTTACATTGGGCCTCATTCTTGAACCAGTTCGTGCATTGCACTGAATCACGCTCAGATCCGATGAGCTCACTGACTGTTGCCGTGCAAGGGACAAGGATTAATCGGGCTGTTTACGCCAACTTCTGAGGTAACGACTCACGAGCCATTCAGAGAGATGTCGCCTTGATCATTGGGGAGGTAGAACAACCGGAATGGCCTTGTAACGTTCTCACTGCAATTAGGTCAAACCCAGGTAATGGGATTACATTTTAGCATCGACGCATTTTGATGCAAATTCCGCAGCTGTGTCACGTGTTTGACAGTCGCGCAAAAAAAAAAGATCGGCCAAACACTTGTAAGAGTTGACGATTGGAAAAGAAATAATTGCTGTGGTCTATCAGGTCCAGTCTCCAGTCCATTGCAGTCTCAAACCAAACACGTTCATCTCTCTCGCTTTCTCATATTCCATCAATGATTTCTTTGCCAATGACTAAACAATTCCCTCTCGCATTTGCTGACACTCTGCCTTCATCTATCCCGTGGATATCCAGTCCATGTATTCACTGCACAGTGTATTCCGTGCCGCGCTTATGAAACGTCTCGCGGACGTGACAAGGCGCTGTATCGAAGGTAAGGATTATTCTTATTATTACTCACATTTGTGCGAAGCAGTTAAACTGAGGAGAAACAACAAGAATTTTGCAATGCTCTTCGTGATGGGGTAGCGTCTCGGGAGCACTTAACAGTGGCGGAGCTCGATGCCCAGCCAGGGAGAGAGGGAAGGTGACAGGAGACACGTCGAGAGAGGAAGGGGCGGGATGGAGGGATTGAGGCAGGGAATTCTGGCAGCCCTCTACCTCTCGCACAGATGTGGGGGCAAAAGCAGGTCGGAGATTTGACAGCAACGGTGATAAACTCTTCCCAGAATGAGGCATTTGGCTAAAAACCTAAACGGTGGGGGTTTCGCGACACGCTCGGTGCAAACCGCAACTTTACACGCGGCGCGAAACAGATTCCAACCGCAAAGCGATTCTGTGCCGTCCTCCGCTCCTCCCCAGCCCTCTCCCTCTCCCTCTCCCTCGCCCTCCCACGCTTTGCCAGCTAAGATCTTTCAGCAGCAGCGCAACTGCCCTCTCCTCACTGCGCGTCGCGTTAAAAAAAAAACACACAGCAAATTCAGTTCAAGCAAAGCCCGAGGAAAGATGCACCGTCAGCAGCAGTCTATTGAACCGGGATATTGGCTAACTGCTTGCATGTCAAGTCTCTCGAAATGAGACTCCATGCGAAGACTGCTTCGCTGCATGCCTGCTGGCAAAGAGAGATTCAGAAATATTAAGTTCAGGTTTTTAATGGTCACATCGCTGAATGTATCTTTTTTTTTTTTGCAAACCTGTGCAGTTTGGATCAAAAAGCTTCCACACTCCCTCTTTCCCTCTCTCCCTCCCTCCCTTCTCCTTCAATTTTCTTCCCTTCTCCCTGGACTGCCCTGACTCAATCTCAAGGCGCAGTCAGGAGCTGACCAGAATGATTGATTCCCTTTATCCGGGCGCTTGAAGAGAGAGCGTGATTGCATGATTGCAGCCCCCCTCCCCCCACCCCCTCCGCCCTCTCCCCCGTTTGTATGTTACAAACGTTGGGAGCTTCAGCCCCTTGCAATTGACAGATTCCCTGCGTGGAGAGACTCGAGAGAGTTTTGTCATTATTGACGCGACGTCTAATGCAAGGATAAGCAATTATTGCGGCAGCAGGAGCACAGCTCTCGCCAGGACCGGCGAGGGGAGCGAGGCAAGATTAGCCTGAAAAAAAATGTTGCTTAGAAATTGCGGCATTAGCCTCTTTCTCAGCACAGCTAGGATCGATGGCCGTGCCACATTCGCCCAGGCTCATCCCCAGTCAACCCATTTCTTACTCCAGGCACGTCGTGTTGGCTGGCCAGCTTCTGGGAGAGTTCGGGTCGATATCGCGAAGCTTACTTATGCAG